ATGCTGCGGGCGCTGGCCGCCCCCCCCCCAAGTTTTTAGACCTTTGGGTTCCTGAAACATATTTCTAATAACGAGAGTGACTGGTGATTCCTCACTGATTCTAATGGTTGCCTAAAATATTAGCTCTGTGAACTGCTGCATTGCCATTGAGCATACTGGACTGTGTGGTTCTGGGCACATGAATTTGACCTTTCTCAGGTGTCTTGCACAATTCTGCATTTTCATACAGCCAGACTCCAATGTTTTGATCTGTGGCTACTTCCTCTTGATGTTTCCCTGAGGGGTGGCTACTTAGATTGTAATGTGAAACTTTCTTTCTCACAGGGACAGGCAGTAGGGTGGTCAGAATTGCACTGTGTTTCATCTTCTGTTGATTCACAGCTTGCAGCCTGATTCACGTCCTCTTTGTAATAGTTTGTAATACTTAACAGGCATTGTTGCCGTAGTAGCTCTTTAAAAGTCAGTGCATGGTTGTGGTATGCAGATTTAAAGGCTAAATTTCCATTTTTACAAAATGACTTTAAATATTCAGTTCATTTAAATCTTGCAGCACGTGAAATCAGAAAGAGCTGCTTTGGTACTTAAGAGGAAAGTAAACATGACTCTCCAGGACTTGATTTCTGTGCGGATGGTGGCATCTTAGAGGTTTGTGGATTGTCTTAAATGTTAGAGAGCCGTTGTATAAAATAGTTAATTAGACCAATTAGTACAGAATTTCTTCTGGTGTACTGTGAAGGATCCATAGATAATGACTTCTTGATTTGCTGTCCACAAAGGAGGCAATGCAAACTTTGAATTGCTCATTTGAACTAGAGGCATGACAAGGATTTTCATTGTTCAGGTCCATTTTCCCCTGCATAGATTTGAGGATATTTGTGTTTTTCCCCTAGCATGACTTGGTAAGTCTTGCAACTGAAATTGGATTTCTTGAGAGACATGTGGATTTCGAATTTCTGTGAGGAAGGTGTACAAAGGCCTAGCAAACAGAGCTTTATAGACTGTTTGTGGTTGGGTGTTAGGTTTTTTTTTTTTTGGTCCATGTGTTGATGTATATTGGAAGTAGTTGTACTATTTATAAAAACAAATGACATCCTTTTGTTGAAGATGACCTCTTGTCCTTACCTAAATTGAGCTGGTAGTCTTGGGAACTTGCTGGGTTTCAGTTTTTAATGTAGTTGTGTGTCTCCTAAACTGGGGTTGTGAGAGAACTTGCTTTCATTGTCTGTTGGATAGGAGGATTTCCCTGAAATTAAATCCAGTCATTTGCTGTCACAGACACAGTTTTGATAAAAATATGAAAGTTATTCAGTATAGTCTCACAATTAATGAGGGGACATAAAAAAACCCAAAACCCTACTGCTGTTTAGATCTTCAAACCACACTGCTGTAGTAGCTAAGAATCTTAGGAGTTCCAGGCTGAAGCTATTCACAGCAAATTTATACCTTTTTGTTCATAGTTGTCATTATTCTTCAGCTTAAATATTTTTTTTTCTCTTGCTGATGTTCACCCTCGTGATGTTTTTACAGTTGATCTGTCCTCTGTTAGCCTTGGTTTTTGGAAACTGTGTAAACTAAGGTTTTAGTCTGCTTTTGTATGAAAGCCTCTGCATTCCAGAGATTATCCTTCGTAGTCCTACTTTCTGTGCTTGTTGTGATTTAATCTTTTTACATGTGGATGATACTGTATGTACAGTTATGCAGGATGTCCTTCTCGGTGATTCTGATTTCAGTTCCTTCACTAAAGGATGCATACTAGGATCATGTTTGCTGTTTTCAGTGTTGTATCATATTGACCATTCATTGCTATACTGTGATCAACAAGTCAGCTCAGGTCTTTTATTTTTGAGCTGGTGAATTCACAATTCTATTTTAAAGCTTGCTTTTATTTTTTTTAAGGATATAACTTTGTACTTCCTATGGCTGTGTTTTAAAATACTCTCACATTGAACAAGTTCTTCCTGTATCATTTGCTGTTCTTCCTCTTAGCTGATGACATCTGCTTATTTTGAATTATCATCCAGATTTCATCTCCATATTTACTTTTTTTTTTCCCCATTAAATTTATTAATGATGATAGTGCTTGACTTGAGTCTCAAGATAAGTCTTGAGGAAGTGAGTTACTGGGTTACTGACCTACATGTACTATATCCTCAAAAAAACCCTTTTGATACCTCCATTTGGACAAATTCTTCATTTCCAGAAACAGCTCTTTTAGTAAACTCTTGTCTTTTTCAGGTTTTGTTAACTCTTCATGTGTTTCAGTGTAAATAATCAATGGAAGTCCAGATGAGATCTTTTCTCTATGTATGTATTGTGCCAGTTAATTTCCATATCTCTATTCTTTGCATGTTCTGAACTTTTTTATGTTCACTAATATGATCATAAAAACATGCATTACTTCCTTCCTCTTCCTTTTTAAATATGGATATTTTCTCTTCAGTTATGCAGTGCCACCATGAGTGTACTACCAGATCTACATGTAGTCTTAATGCTGATTCTTCTATACCCGAGGGAGATTTTTCCAGTTCTTGCATCTTTCTTCTTTTCCCACTTCAACTTAGTTTTCTCCAAAATCTTTACTTCACTTCAGTAGTTCTAATGCCATACTCCTCTTCTAGTTACCCATCCTGACTTTCAGGGATAGAGAAAAATACTTGCTTATAAATAAGGTATATGTAATAGTTTGTAGCCTCAGAAAACCTAACTACTAGAGAATAATAATGAGCCCTTCTCAAACTGAATCACTGTTGGTCTGCAGCATATTAGCAAGTCACATTGTATGGCTTTTTTAATTACTATTTTGAGTGCTGTGACTTAGTAAATTATTGTAGAAGCTGAAAATGAGACATTTCAACATGCTTGCTTGACTTCACAAATGGCCTTTGTATGAGATAAATGGAGGAATTAGTGGGGAAGAGTCTTTGAGTAATATTGGCATTGCAGCCACCTGTGAATTTGGAAGATCCAGAGAATCAAAGGGAAAGATGCTGTCAGCATACTTTGGAAAGTACAAAAATATATAACTGAAGTGTTGAAGGTAAATTGCAACAAAACGTGGTAACAAAGTTGTAGATGAAAGTGGAAATCAGATGAACACTTCATTAATTTATTTCAAATGAGCTAGTAACTGCCTCAAAGGCATTTTAAAATAGTTCAGCTATTACTTTTCCATAAAAATGACTGTTTTGACTGCTTTAATGTCACTTGGCCTTGGCCACCAGAGCATTAGTCTGATCCTTGTTTGTTAACATTCTGAAATGTATTTTGGTGTTTCAGGGTAATTTCCTGAAGCAAAGTTTCCATTTTGCTTTTCTCCATTCTAGAAATACTTTCCTAATTTTGTATTGACATGAGCATGGTGACACTGACCGTGCTATAATAATTTGGCTTCTCATGTAGTAGTACTTGATGCCATTTTTTCG